GGGTTTAAGTGATATACATATTGCTCCTACCGTGGCTAGGTCAGCAATTCCTCCTTGGCTTTTCCCAATGCCTTTGATTGATATCCAGTTGCATAAAGAAAAACATAACAATGAAACAAGTGTATTAGAAAGTTCAGCTGTACAGAAATATATAGATCTTACATATTATAGTGTAGTACAAATATACACTGATGGTTCAAAGGATCCAGACTCTGGGAAAACAGCTGTAGCAGTATATATTCCCCTATTTAAAATTAAAATGTCAAAAAGAACTTCAGATCATATTTCTGTATTTACTGCAGAACTAATAGCAATCTTACTAGCACTTCAGTGGATAGAAGAAATACAACCAACAAAGGCAGTGATATGTACAGATTCTCTTTCAGCACTAAACAGTTTGTCAAGTGGAAATTCATTAGCAAGACAAGACATGATAAATGAAGTAATGCAGAGTCTTTTTAGAATAAGACAGTATGGACTTCTGGTAAATTTCGTGTGGGTACCATCACATATAGGTGTGAAAGGAAATGAGGAGGCTGATCATTTGGCTAAACAGGCATTAAATCGTTCACAAATAAACATTGAAGTGACATTAAGTAAAACAGAAATAAAAGTGATAATAGCGAAAGAAATACAGGAAATATGGCAGAATGAATGGAAAGAAGGAACAAAAGGTAGACATTTACACTGCATACAAGAAAAAGTTGGTTCAGAGAGAAGAAGATTTGGAAACAGGAAAGAGGACGTTATAATTGCAAGAATGCGTATTGGTCATGGTTTATTAAATCAGTGCTTACATAGAATAGGAAAACATGAAAATGGAAATTGTGACAAATGTGGGTTAACAGAAACTGTAGAACATGTACTTATAAAATGTGAGGCTTATGAAAGAGAACGTGTTTTCCTTTGCTAAAGTAAGGAAACTTTGCTTCTTTTGATCCTGTAAACAAACGTTGGTTTTCACGAGATGCACCGGCGCATGCGTAGCGCTGACCTCATACGTCATCCCCCCGGAACTGCTTCCATGTAGGACTGTTGGCGCAAGCTAGATTAAAGTGATTATTAAGTTTTGAATATGGATATTTTCTTACAAAAACGCATCGATTCGCTACAGGAGGCCTTTGTTCACCCCCCGGAGCCGTGTGAGACACTTTTTTTTGTGGAAGGGTGCTTTTTATTTCACGTCTTTTGAACCGAAGCACTGCAACACCCGCTGAGTACAACGATAGAGCTTGAAAGATCAAAGACAATTTTTAATATAACTCCGACTGGATTCGTCTGAAAGAAGAAAGTCATATACACCTAGGATGCTTCGAGGGTGAGTAAAACACGGCATAATTTTCATTTTGCGGTGAACTAACCCTTTAAGACCTGCACGCATCTAATATACAGGCAGCATCCGTTTTTCTCTCAACTATTTACTTTCATTTTAGACATAACCAACTGAGTCTATATGTAAACCTTGTGTGTTTTGACAATATTAGCGCAAAAGATAACTTAGTTCAGTAATCAGGCGCTGTTTGACATGCTTCTTTAGCACGCATGCTTCGGGTGTACGCGAAATGCATGCCAGAACAGCACGTGAATGAAATATTTAACCAGTAAGGCTTTAAAGCAAATAATGTACTTTTGTGATTGCGAATAAGTGCAGTGTTCCGTGAGTGTAACTCTACCGCTGAGTTAACACTGATGTGAATGTATGTGGCATTGTACAGTATATTGATACGACGGCGCCAGAACTGCAACTGATAGAATATGTGCTGTAGCACGATACTACGATATTTCTTCAAAAGCAGATCGTGGAGACATTTTAAGTCCTACAGTCCAAGGGTTCAAAGACTAGCTAGTAGGCGCATAAAATCAGCTTTGAACCTTTCCACCTGTTCCTTCCAGATGGTACAAAGGAAATATAGCACACATGGAGGTCCATACTCTTTCTTACACAGTAGCCTACACCTCAGTAGGAAGCACTTATGCCTTTGTGGGCAGTTATTGTGAGGTATGTTCAAGTAGATCTCTGTGGTGCTTTGACACCAGCCATCCTGCTGTTTCAGGGTTAGAAATGGTGATGAAACCTCATTGTCAGTGATGTAGAGCAGTCTGCCTGAGGAGCTTTTACAGGAAAATCAAAAGAGTTTAGCTTGTAGCACATAATTTAGAATTGATCAGTTTGTATTACATCATTTATTAGTGGTCTATTGCGTTTTTGATTTTATAAATGTTAATATCAGTTAACTGTGTAGTGCTAGTAGCCATTTGTAAAATATTTGTTCTATTTATAATCAACCATTTCTTTGCACAAATGTCTGATTTTTTTATTACATTAATTAGATTGTATAACATTGCAAATCACGCTCTTAAAGAGATTGTCCATTCAAAAAGGAAAATTGTCATCATTTACTGTCATTTCAAACCTATGTCAAACAGTTTTGGTTACCATTGACTTCCATTGCGTGCACAAAAAAAAAAAATCTCCAAATGTCTACTTTTATGTTCCATAGAAAAAAAGGGTCACACATTAGTTTGGGGACCAAACCAAACTACAACTTTTGCCTCAACCCCTATTTTGCCCAAGGAATATGGAAATGACATGAGATGTTTATAAGCATTAAACATTTCAAAAGAATAACTTTGGGTTTTGTAAGACAGAGTTGAGCATTAACATTTGAAAGATCCTTAGAATGTGCTTCCACGTTCTGCAGTTGTAGTTGTGCATGTTTGGTTGAACACTTAATCTGAAGTCATGGTTATATACAGTATGTGTGCTTATTTAGCACAAGTATTTATTTATTTAGATAATTATTTATTTAAGTGTAAAAACTGTTGCACCGTCTCATATCTCTTGTGCCATTAATGTTAATGTGAACATATCATCTCTATTGCCGTTAATTAGGTATGCGTATGAATGTAGGTCTACATAAGTTATACTCTATTATCTGTCATTAAAATTCAGGGATGTGGCATGCATAAAATAGACAAATTATGTCATATCACTAATATTTCAGATGTCATGCATTTCAGATTGAAGATGATACAAATGGTATACTAATAATAACAATAATTAATTTTGTAATAGTTGCTTTTATTGGATTTACAACGTTGTACACAGCATGCAATTTGACATTATGAAATGTTTTTAATTTAAGAGGTTGTATTCTAGAAGCATCAATAAATTTTTAATAAGATCCGCTCTAAATCACATTCTCAAGTGGGCTTTTCTCTTCATAATGATAACTGAACTGTATCGTTTCAAATCTTGTCTTATCATTCTGTGTATACTTTTTAACAAGCCCTAGTGAAACAAAGTTAAATCCTGTTTCATAGCATCAGCTTTTTTTTTTTCTTTTTTTTTTTTGTGTGTGGCATGAGAACATATCCAGCACATTTCCAAAAGCTCCAGTCAACTTTGAGACAGTGAGTTGAGACCTGCAATGTACTGACGGATATGTTGACTCCCATTTCACCTTTAACCTCAAGAGTATCCGGTGTAAATAACTCACAGCATAGACACTCACACCGCTGCTGACAAACAACAAATAGCCTAGATGTCAGATGTGGTACCAGATTGAAGTTCTAAGCCATCGTTTTTTGTTTGTTTGCTGTTTTGAAGTCTTTTGTTTAGAGGTCAGAACTGTCAATTTGAACACGTCATGTTTAAATGAATACAGAAGACAGGAATCCAAAAATGAAAAGCAAAATGAAATGACCTTGAAACAAAATCAAAAACATGTTTTTTAAGGAAGAGGCCTTTTCATGCAAGCTGTCCATGATGGCATCAGCATAATTTGGCTTCTGCAAAGTGATGGAGGGATTTACACCAAAATACTATGGAGTTTAATTGGGCCGCATAGCTTTTGACGTCAACAACAAAAGATATGGAAAGCATTTTCTCCTTTCTCCTTAAGCGTTTTCTTGAAATGTTGATAGGCCTGTTTAATTTGCTGTCCTGAATGCATGATTATACAGTTAGCTGCTTTTTATTATTTGCATTTAACATAGTTTTTTTTCTGTGCTGTTTTAGAACAGACCTACGGCCCATTTTTGGGTCACGACCCACCAGCTGGGAACCACTGCTTTAAATATTAAATAGTTATTTTGTTGTTGCTTTTTGATGGTATCTTTTGTGCACACCAGGGACTGATGTAGTTTGTTTGGTTTGCAAGTGGTGTTTATTAAACATTTTAGTTTAACTTTCCTCAATATCTAACATAAAAAGTAGATCTGAACCATTTTTGGTTTGTTTGTTTGTTTCTATTTGCTTCCACTAGTCAGTATGGAGTGTTATACGTGGAAAAACGGGTTGTTTCTTAACTATTTTTTGCAAACTGTAAATCACATTTTTGGTATATATGTACTTGATCTGTGTATATCTGAAATTACATGCATAATAACATCCGTTGTCCTTGTCCTCAGTCCCCCCACAGTCACAAGTTTTATCCCTTAAATTCATCTTTGATAATCAAAATGACATATTTAATCATTTTACCCATGAAAATCATTTTTTCATGCCTCAAAATGGCTTGACTATAACTCTACATCCTCACCTCATTTAGTATACGTGGAATCATGAATATGCAAATGACTCTCCGCTGAAACTGAGTCTGAAAATGAGGAAGTGCAAGTTATACAGTGTCATCTGCAAGTCGATGTATCAGAATGGAAATGTATTTTATGTATTGCTCTCTACAATGTCAGCTAATAATGTGTTGCTAATGGTACAAAAACCATCTCAAACAGCTAATGATATGAAAAGCCCCACCCTGCAAATTCACAGGATTGGTTGCATGTTTATGATGGTATGATTCAAACCACATTTTTGAGACTGTCTTTGGTACACGGGAGTTTTAGCGAAAAAATGCTCAGCAGTGATGTTGACTGATGAATTTGGACATGGTTTGTCTCGAAGCATTTTAAAAACAGCAGATAGACATGTAAACAATGTTAAAAGCTTGATTTTCACCACAGGGGTCTTTAATTATCTGCTTTCTTTCTGGTTTCAGATGCTACCTGTTGGATGGGATCTCAAAAGGAGCATGGTTGAATCGTTCCAGTATCATTTACGCAGGGAATGACAAGTGGTCAGGGGATCCTCGTGTGTCCATCGTATCAAATGTGGGGGATAAACATGAATACAGCTTACAGATACAGAAAGTGGATGTAACGGACGAGGGCTTGTACACCTGCTCGATACAAAGTGAACGTAATCTACGCCCAAAGCTCATTCAGTTAATTGTAAAAGGTGAGTGTTTTATCAACAACTGCTTATTTCATCATGATTTGCCATGTTTTTCATTGATAATAAACTAATTTAGCATTATATTTGCACCTAGTTTGGTTTTTAGTTTGGAGGAGGGACTTGAAGCTCTGAAGTATTGAATTTGTCCTCTTTACTGATAATATTTATTAATACTGATGATATGAATTTGTGTTTACATCAATACTTTTGTCGAGTTTTCCCAGGAGCGAAGTTATATGTGTGCAATACACAGGCTTTGTCTTGTAGTCGGTGTTACAAGAAATAAAAAAAATAAAATCAATTTAGTTCAGCTGAACATGGGACGCTACAGTTCTGAGGCGCCGCGCGTCTCAGCTCGGAGCCGCAGGAGTCACGTGACGAAGTTTTAAACAACTTATAGGCTACACAGTCAAATTGATTTGACTTAACTCATGTTTTACAGTGTGACCACAATAAAGAGCTTCTTAGAGTAGCCTACCATACTGAATGGATAATCAGGAAGAATTGTTAGAATTAGAATTAATTATTGTTAGAATTAATACTACTAAAACAAAATAAGATTAATGCGTATGCCTACTGCTGGTTGGCTGCCCACTAGGCATAGGCTCCAGGTCTGCTTCCTTATCGCCAGCTCAAGGCTCGGTCTCTTTTTATTTTTTTTGGGCTTCGCGAAAAAATCAGAAATGCGTTTTCTCGCCATGTTGACTGGTGTATTTTTAAATCTTCAATGATGGATGCGGACGTGGTGACGTCACGCGACAATTGTTGCTTATTGTCGTTAAGCTTTTTTTCCCCTATGATTTTAATGAATATTCAAATTAAATAAAATTAGCTTTATTTCTTTTTTGTTACAAAATTTAAATTTATTTATTTTTAACACCGCACCCCCAGCACCCCCATTTTTTCTTTAGCTCCGAGCCAGGGGGTGCTGCAGCACCCCCAGCACCCCTACTTCCCACGGTAATTTTTACATCCATATTCATGACACTATATTTTGACTTCAGAAGGCTCAACCGCTCTGTCAAAATGTCAGAAATGTTTTGAATCTCTAGGCCACTGCATGCAATTTTACGCTATTGCTTAAAGCTTAGAGCACTTTTTCATACATGTATATATTTGCAGTCATACTGAAAATATGAATTGAATGTGTTACTAATGACTATGAAATCATCAAATGTTAGTAAAAACCTTTTTAATGTTTCATTATGTAAATAGAGATTCTAGCTCTACATGTGTGTGTCCCTTTTAAGGAATTAGAGTAAAGTCTGTGAATTAGCCTATAGGCTATAGATAGCAGTTGGAGTGCAGAATCAAATGTGAGATTAAAGGGGTCATATGATGCGATTTCAAGTTTTCCTTTCTCTTTGGAGTGTTACAAACTGTTCGTGAATAGATAAGATCCCTAAAGTTGCAAAGACTAAAGTCTCAACCCCAAAGAGATATTCTTTATAAAAGTTAAGACTAGTCCACGCCCTCATAAAACGGCTTGTTTAAACACGCCCCCACCTGTCTACGTCACGATGTGGGAAGATTTGCATAACGCCGCCCAAATGTTCACGCAAAGAAAGAAGGCGTAACTTTATTGTTGCTGCCAGAGGACACAACTAGAAATCAGTGGTTAAGTTTTATTTACAACACTGTTCCAGAACAGTTCAACCCAAATATTCAGATGTGTGCAGCGCATTTTATGGAGGACTGTTTCCTGAACCTGGAAGAGTAGCCTACCATGCCGTCTGTTCTGACTCACAGCCTGTAAGTAAGTTTTCATATTTAAAGAATTTGCCACTGATGATTCAAACCTGAGTTTTGAGCAGTGTAGAGTAGCGCTTGTTGTTTGTCATTTCTACGTTCACAAATGCAGACATGGTTTTATGTTTACGTTACGCGATGCAATGCATAAAAAGACAGTATAAGTCAATATAATCCGTAATTATGTCCCCATTGGATGCAACAAATGACTCGTTTATAATGGGTTTTATAGGTTTTGTCTCGTCACTCCAGGACACGGCATCACAATATGGTAAGGGGAGTAACATTTCTGTCACACGCTTGAGGTATTCGGCCAATCACAACGCACTGGATAGCTGGCCAATCAGAGCACACCTCGCTTTTCAGAACGATGAGCTTTGTAAAAATCGACGGTGCATAGAGGAGAAACAATAATGTACAGTATGTGGAAAATAATGTGTTTTTTTTAACCTTAAACCGCATAAACACATTTCATTACACCAAATACACAAAATAATGTTCTTTTTAGCAACATCATATGACCCCTTTAAATACAGCCACGTTTAAGTGGATCTAAATATAAATTTTTATGGAGTTTAATTGTTACTTTCATATGTATTGATGTATTTTCTTCACGGTGGGCAAATAAGTCAAAATATCTGTAAATTGCAAAAATTAGAGTGTCTTCAGAGGAGTGACTCCATTTGTGGTCTAAATTTATGGAGGAAAAAAAAAAAAAAAAAATTCCCATCCTGCTCAGCAGCATAATTACTGATAATGTCCATGTGGAATAACATTTTACATCATAGTAGTGCGTGCAAATGGCCACTCTGCAAGCCTCATTTTTTATTGTGTTAAATGGGCATCGGTTAATATGGTATATAATTTTTTTTTTTGTGAGGAAAACATTAATTCTACTGTTAGCTTTGCATATTATCATTGGCCGTCTATTCTAATAAATAATTTTAACTCCCTAACAGAAAAACAGAAAACAAGATTATTTTTCTTACCCCATTGGCAGATTATTTTGCTTGTTTCAAGAAAAAACTCACTTGAATTCGACTTGTTTTTTCTGAAAACAAGACAATAATTTTTACTTGTCTAGAAAATCCTTCTTGATTTAAGAATTTTTAGATATTTTGGCTGGAAACAAGACAAAAGATCTAAGCTAGAAAAGCATTTTTTGCAGTGTATTACCTTGATAATAGCTCTGCACAATCTGGGCATTCTCTCAAGCAGTTTCATGAGTTGCCACCTGGGATGCTTTTTAAATTATATTGAAGGAGTTCCCATGTATCCCGGTTCCCTTGTTGGCTGCTTTTCCTTTACTATCTGTTCCAACTCTTTTAAAATTATTAGCTCATTTAAATTGGTTGCAATTTTAGTTTTATAGAGAAATTCATATTTAGGCACAATATGTGTTTGCTGCAACACATACATAAAACTGATGATTTTAATGAATATTTCATAGCTGTTATGTAGATATTTGTTTGGTCGCTGGCTTCGTCTCTCACATCCTAGTCATTACAAGATATTTCAATGATGGATATTTATCTAAATTTACTGGTAGGCTTGTATTGTGTGTTTCTTTTACAGGTTGGTGTATACGGTTGACACCTCAGTAGGAGGTGCTGACTCTCAGCACTGGCAAATTTGCTATTTTTTTATCCGCATAAATCCACTGCCTGTAATTAACTAGAGAAAGATCACTGCGAGCTCCCTAACCCTCCTTGAGATAAAGCAAACTAATACAGGCCAATCATATCTGAAGATGTGTAGTTTTAGAGGCCGTAACCTGTAGCCCGTCGCTGAGTCTCTTCTATGTAATTATAATCAACAGAATGAATGTCCTCCTTTTTCACTCTCTTAGCCGAAGGCTGTTTCATGATCATGATGGATCTTTTGTCCTTAATAGAATCCATTACTTGAATGTATCTCTACATGATCTGGGATAATTAATAAGCACTGGTAAGAAAATATACACGCACTGTTGGGGTAATGACAACAACTAAAGAGAGAGAACAAAAGCGACAGGAAACACATGATGAACAGCAGTCTTATAATAGGAATCGGTGAGTGGTAAACTTAATCTCCTGCAGGATTGTATCAAAAATGAAATTGCTAGATTGACTCTTACAGTGGCACAAATCCTAGAGCGCCAAATCGTAATACGATTAAAACGTCTTATTTGTCCTTTGTGAAATTTGAACAGACTGTACTTGATGTATCCTGCACATTTGTGAGGACGAAACAGTTTTGCTAGGTCATTCTTTCTAGTCGACGGGTCAATACTGGGCATCACCAGAGAATGAGTGTGCTTGTTTGTTTTGTGGGGATCGAATGAGGATAGCCCACACACATTTTTCGGAGAATAATCACCAATCTTCTACACCACTTAAATCTTAGCCTTGTTTACCAGACAGTACCATTTATCATAGTCCACAGTGAGTCACCATTAAATAGAGCAGTTTGAGACCACCACATTATTCTTTTATAGATGTGCTCAGTTAGTGAATGACAGATCAAATGTATTGCTATTCTGCACATAGGCCTATATATCTAACTTAGCTAAATATTAGGAGTGATGGCCTGTTTGTCATCAGCAACCACCATTTTGTTTATTGTGGAAGATGAACCAAAGAAATAAGACCGCTTGGCACTGCGTACGTTCCAGTATTGCGGCAACAATGAAACGGAACAAAAAAAGATGAATTAAATTATTATTTCTGTTGTGGCGTCTTTTGAAGTCAATGACTTCTGTTGAAGAAGTTCAATTATGAAACATCGATTATCATGGTATATAGAGAGAGCGATAGCTATACATTTCAAGGGCTTCTTTAACATTGAACTTCCAATTCTTTTGAAGTCACATAGTAGCTTTTTTAATGAACACACTGAAAATTTAAGTGTGTTATTCACAGGAAATCACCTCTCCTTGACATCAACCAGGCTTTATTATGCTGAAATAATTGTTAGAATGAAGATTTTTATTTGGAATTGTTGTTAATTTGGCTACTTTTTTATTCGATTTTTTATTATATTTTTCTGTTTTCCTTCTTTTATAGTTTAGTTATGTTAGACATTAGTTTCTTTACACACACACACACGCACACACAAATATATATATATTAGTGCTGGGCAACGAGTAAAACATTTTTTTTATTATTATTGCGATTAATCACATGATTGTCTGCGATTGATCGCGATGAATCGCATTGGTATGCACAAAATTCAATAATGCATTCAAAAGTAGGGTATTGTGCACTTTTCATTTA